GTCATTGTTGCCTCAGCGGATCTGAACATGTCTCAAGGAAAGTGCTTCCCAATCAGCACTACCCATTATTCTCTCTTTTAATATACTGTAAACTTTTCTGCTGGATTCTCCCCACCTCCCACCCCCAGGCTTTTCTAGTAGTAGATTAACAGTAAAACTAAAAGTTTCTGACCCATGAATCTCTTGCTGCCGTGAACTCTGCTTGGGGGAGGAGGGGAACACTAGCTTTCGAGGGAGATTAAAAACACTTAAAGTTGAGGGTTTTTTTCCACATTTTGTCACTGTTAATACCTCACATTATCTGGAGGGAGGGGGAAAAGCTGATACAGGGCTTGTCTGCATGGTCATTTTTCAAGTGGGATGGTGCAAGCTAAATAAGATCACTTGGGGTTGGGTAGAGGTCTGGTATGACACTTTGGGCAATCTTCACATCCAAATTGCATACCAAATCACCTCAGGCAAGCCTGTTTGGTCTGGCTCCTCTGCTGAGAATTTCCAATAACGTGAAGTGACTTAAAAAACAGCCAGTTCAGGATACTGGCAAAGTAAACACTTCCTCTGCTCCTCCATGGAGGAGCAGAGGAGGTAGTTCAAAAACTCTCCTCTCCTCTCTCTCTCTCTCTCTCTCACACACACACACACACACTTAAATTGAGATAGGAGCACACAATAAGGGGCATTTGTCTTTCCTGTCTTTGATTTATAAAGGTCTAGTTGATAACCTGATCACAGCTGAATCCACTGCCAAGTACTGGACAGTTGAAGCCTCGCTTTGGTTCATTTCTAGCAATTGCATGCACTGGAAATGAATCAAAATGTAACAGTCCTTCTTGTAAAAACAAAGTGGAAGCTTCTGACAGGGACCCAGAAAGGTGTGGGTCGGAACACTCTGGAGATGGGCTGGCTCGCTTCAGTAAATACGTTGTGTGATTTCTGGGAAAATGAGCAAAACAACCTGTCCCCTCAGTGAACCAAATGGCAGGCAAAATGCCAGTCTGATCACACCCATAGTCAATGACCAATCAGTACTTCTTAAAAAACAAATTTCTGTCTAGAAAAGCCATAAATTACCTACATGTGCCCAGATTCAATGTAGAGGTTTCTTTACTAAGTTGGACTTTCTCTTGACTCTTCCTAGGCCATGGAACAACCAAAATTGACAAACTCACTGGCACAATCTTCAATTTCCATTACTAAGGAGCTACTGCAACTTTCCCCACATCACTGCTGTTTAACATCAGTCTCAAACAGATTACAGTATTAAATCAGCCTCTCCCAATCTAGAACTAGACAAATGATTTTCGATGACAATTCACACCAAATCTGATCTTTTGTCATGCTAGCTGCAGTGGATGGTAGCATGAAATTCCTGAAGGACACCACACCAAAGGGATAATGGTCATTTCACACAGACATGTCTTATGCACTTTAAATGTTCATTCCATTTTCACAGCTCAGGGAGAATCCATTGGAAGTTACAATGAACAGCTTAAATTGTTCAGCTTTGCAATCCATTAACAGAAAATAAAGAACTGAAAGAATGTACTCTTTTTGATGATTTCTCACGAAGGTTTATATAGCAGGAAAGAGGAAAGTGAGGTTTGATGTAATTCTTTCCCACAGTAAATAACAAGATCGCAGTAGATATCACAATGGAGGGAAGAGGACGTAGAAGGAATGATAGATATAGAAAGTGAGGAGAGAAGCCCAGAACTGAAGTAGGACATTTTAATTATTTCTGGGTTTTTTAGGATTGGAAAAAAAGATTCAAAAACTGAAATCATTTTTAAAATTTGAATTAGTTTTATATATTTTGTATTGTTAAAATAGTGTTTTTGTTTTATCCCTATGTAACAATGGTTTTAATTTAAAATGGGCAAAATTTTATCAGTGTAGTTATGTAGGAATACCCTGGATCCAAATGTAAAAATGATTAATTGAAAGCTCGCTATCCCCCCCGCACACCCCTTTCAGGTTCGGAGGCTCCCTAGAGCTCCATTTTGCTCTGGGGAAACCTTTGTGAACCTCAGGATGGATGGGAGAAGCCTTTAATAGTTGCAAATCACTGCCAGAACATTAACAACAGTCCTAATACCAGCAGTGGTGATCCACCACCAAGTTTTATTAAAGGCTTCCCCCAACCCCAGACCAAGGCTCCCAAAAGCTTCCTCAACACAAAAGAAAGCCTTAGGGAGTCTTCTGACCCGAAACAGAAGGATAGCAAGCTTTCAATTTCAATTATTTCCAGCACCTGGTTCTAGTTTACACTGGTGTAACTAGGCCAACAGGATTTTTCCCAATGTGATTGCTCAAAGATCTCATAACTGAATAAGGAAAAGAAATGCTAATTTTATATTATATGACAATTTGTTCTTATAATCTTTTGAAAAATGTTTTGCAAATATTCAACCAATCTTGGACTAACACCTTATCCTATAGGCATTGGTATAGATTTTTGGGTTAAACTAGTGCTGGCTAGACAATTCAGTGAGTTGGAGTAGAAGATGTCAGGAGTTCAATTCTCCAGTTGCCTCAGTCTTCCACATACCGCACAGTCCCAGGGCCTCCCCGAGTCATGTTAGCTCCCCTAATGCCTGAACCCTCCAAGAGTCCTATAAAATTTCATAGACCTCCCGGGAGAAAATCAGAAGCTTGTGTTAGTCACAGCTGGCATTTATTCCAATAAAGTGCTAATTCCAGAATGAAACCAAACAATCACAGAAAACTGTGTCAAAATCCATCTGAGTATCTCTACAAATGTCTTCATTATTGTAATTATTCCAGGCAACATTAGCTTGTGTATTTCTACAAGCTTTATTTATCTGCATTGCTTCTATGTTCCAAATACACAAAAATACTTCAGGGTTGTTACAAAATACAAAAGTCTGACAGCTATGAAGAAAACTCTAGTCAGAAACACTTGAAAACTCTTCCTTACAATTCATGAAAAGTTACAAGTGTGATTTCCATCCAGTCTTACAACTCTGAGAAGTTGCAGACATTCAGATACAAATCTTAAGCTGTAGACATAATAAAAATCATGTCTGAATCTAAAATAAAAGTTTTAATAGTTTACATTTATGAAATATAAAATCATTATACTTTTAAAAGCTTTAAAAGACATATTTTAAAAGCATACAAAAATACCAAAATTGTTAAAATAAAAAGATATAAAGTGAAAAGCATTTTATTCGTGAAGGCTTTCACGGCCGGGATCTAATAGTTGTTGTGGGTTTTTTGGGCTCTTTGGCCGTGTTCTGAAGGTTGTTCTTCCTAATGTTTCGCCAGTCTCTGTGGCCGGCATCTTCAGAGGACAGGACTCTGTGCTCTGGTGTTGTTTGCTTGGGAGTGCAGGAAGAACAACCTTCAGAACACAGCCAAAGAGTTCGAAAAACCCACAACAACCATGACAAGCATTTCTTCAACACATCTAAGTTCTTAAAAGTAAAAATGTATTAAAAGAAATAACTTTCTTAGCCTCTAAGCATGTTAATAGGCACACACACACACAAAATTTAAACAATATTCTTACCCAGTCAAGCAGTGATCATTCATTCACCTGTTGTTTATGTTGATCTCATCTTTGTGTTTACAAACTAGAACCAAACATTCATTCATAACTAAAACATTCATTCATTTCCTAAGATTGTTTATAATTCATTGACCTTGCTGTGCTGGAGCTGGCTAATTGTTTTGAAATAACATGTAAGCTATTTTTTCAAGTTGAAAGTTTTAAAAGTATTTTCCATTTAGGGCAAATTTTCCTGCATCTTTCCTTTAATTTTCTAACACTTTTAAACATATAAGGTTTCAAACCTTGACATTCAGAAGAAAGGGATAGTAAACTACTTCTAAATACTTTATAGCTAGGAAATTCTGGCAAGGGTGTCATTATATCAGAATCAACATATAATTAATAATTATATTTCTCCTAGTACTCAGTTTAATAGATACCAAACAGCAACATAGGAAGCTGAAGAATAAAAACTTAATTTTATCCAAGTGTCATTGAAAAGAAGATTTGAAGAAATGGAGACAATCAGGGCACAGAGATTGTGAAAAACGGGGGAACTAGCAAGTGTATCTCAATATAAATTTCATTCTTGCTTTGATAGATCTTTATTGTGATGTCTGAAGCCAGGCAATGTAAGATTATTATATCAGAGTTTCTGTGATATTGAACTGTTTTCACAAAATTCCCTCAGGGTATTCCGGTACCTTACATGCAAGGTCATCAGCGAGGGAACCAAAGGCTGCTGATTACCTCTATCCCAGTGAGGGAAGGTCAGCAAACTGCAATAAATTTCTATTAATTGTTTTGTTCTGGTATGGTCATAAAGACGGTACTCCTCTACTTTCTTCATCCAATTCCTTCCCCCCCCCCTCGTTTTCCAGTTTCAAGTCTTAGGTTAGCCCTGCTTTGTTTTCATTGACATAGAACACACGTCTTCAGCACCACTGGGCTGGATATGGCATTTTAATTTGTGTGAGCAGCTCTGGGAGATATTTGTTGCATGAAAAGGAGGATACAACTATAGTAGATAAATTTAAAATATATTCGTCTTTATTATCTAGCTTTTAAAAAAATAGGGTAAGTCATCCTAGAATGTTTTAATTAGAGACCAGGTTTAAAAACAAAGAAAAAAAAAGAAATTCCCAAGACTGGAGTGCAATGGGAAATAGAAAAAGGTAATAGGCTTGGTCAATAAATAAAAAATTGCAGTGAATCTTGTGAGATTTATTTGGTCTTTGTATTGTGAGCTTACTGTCGCATACTAACAAACTTGTAAGTGTTGTACAAAAGTCCTCACTTGAGAGAAAGCTATTAAAGAAGAAATAAACTGTACTATTCATCATCAAGGGTTTATAGATGGTGCAGGAGGAAAGAAGTCTCTAAACCTATTACAGAAGCCCCAGTACCATCCTATGTACCAGATATGCTGCCCCCCATTAATTGAAGAGTCACATGCAGACCTAATAGCAGCAGTTTAAATACATACCTCTAAAAATCAGTTCCACCTCCCACTCATGAGTTTTCACAGCTGAGCAAGGACTTGAATCCAGGTGTCCTGAATAATAGTCCATCATTTTATCCATTACACCACACTGAGAATTTACTGTACATTCCTCTAAAACACTTGATGTAGTGGGATGGGGGGCTTTATAAGCTCAATAAATAAATAACAAGTCAGCCAGCCAACCAGGGCAAGTACAGCTTCAAACTCCACAAATCTCAGCTTGTCAGTGCATAAAAGCTGCTTCTCCTTTGTGGTCTCTGTGAATACACACTAATGGGTTAATCTGTGGTCGAGCAAAGCAACCTTGGAAACTTCCACAGCTTTAAGCACTTGGTGCTGGGACCTCTCCTACACCTGGCTATATAACTCCACCTCCGGCACCCAGCCCTCAGTTCTTTTTTTTCCACTGCTGTTGTAGTAGTAGCTCTGTTTGGAACTTCACAAGTAAAAACAATTTCTATTTCTTATCTTTACTTTCTTTGATCTCCCTTGTTCTTTCTTCTAAATAACAAGTTGTTTCTTCTGCCTGGTGGAAGAGCAGCAGCTGGCATTAGTTGTGCTTTGTAAAGGCTTTGTAAACTGGCTTTAGGGCCTCAGGGCTTTTTCTTTTAAAGACATAAGGTTTCTTTTATCTTCTTAGCAAGGTTACCCATAGGCTCAAGAGCAACAGCTTTCTACCTGTTTGCAATCTTTCTATCAAAAGAGGACAGCATCTGAGCTTTGCCCTTGGGAGAAGAAAGGGCCGCCTACAGCTCCAGCCGCAATCCCCGCTTGTCAGTGATTCTCCTGACTGGGGTAAAGCCTCTGTGGAGGTTGGCATGGAACAGCCCTCTTGCATCAAGGGGCTTGTTCATACCGCTATCAAGTCTACAGTGAGTTGGGCACCTGTAGTAGCCCCAGGGTTACCCTTGGAAGAAGAAAGGGGCCCCTGCACCACTGGCCGGTGGCCCCGCCTGTCAGTGATTCTCCTGATTGGGGTAAAGCCTCTGTGGGGGTTGGTGTGGAACAGCCCTCTTCCATGGGGCTCATTCATACAGCTGTTTAACCTGCAGTGAGTTGGGTGTCAACAGCCTTGCCCTTGGAAAAGAAAGGGCCTCCTGCAGCACCAGTTGCCTTCCTCGTCTGTCAGCGATTCTCTTGACATGGGGTAAAAGCCTCTGTGTGAGGTTGGCACAGAATAGCCCTACTTCATGGGCTCATTTATATGACTACTAATTCCAGAAAAAGCTATGCGCCAAAGCAACATACGGTAAGCCTTGGTTTTGCCATTGGGGATGGAACGGGCCCCCTTCAGCTCCTGCTGCCAGCCCTACCTGTTAGTGATATTCCTGACCAGGGTGACACCTTTGGGTAGTCTGGCATAAAATAGCCCTCATTTATCAATGGGCTCGTTCTCACAGCTGCTATTTCCAAAATCAGCTACATGCCAAAGCAAGAGCTTTTGGACAACATTTGGCAGTCCTAGCTTTGCCTTTAAAAAAAAGGAGGGCCTGCAGCTCCCACTGCTAGCCCTGCTAGTCAGTGATATTCTTGTTTGGGGTAGCACTTGTTTGGTGGCTCATAATTTGGCACAAAACAACCTCTTTATCAATGGGCTGGTTCACACAGTAGTCTGCGGCCCCATGTCAGCTGCCGGTGCCTGCATAGGCTCATAAGGAAAGGATTCATAGGAGTCAACCCTAAAACCCTGCTAATGTCAGGTAAACCCAAGTAATTTTCCTCAGGAGGGTCCTATCATGCCAACAAGTCTGTGCAGGACCAGTCCCTTTTATCTGGTACAGGAGCTATGAGCCTTTTTCACCACCTTTTCTGCCGCTGCCACCGCCCCGCTCCACCTGGCACTGTTCTGAGCCACAGGCTAAGGAGTGCTTTGCACCTCCACCTACGCCTCAAAAGTGTAGTGCACCCGGCTCCGGCAGCAAAGTGTCCACGGGTTTGACCTAACCTGTTGTTAACCCTTTCAGCCTTTTCTGTCCCAGCAACTGTATTGAGACTGAGTTCGGTCAGGCTCATACTAAGAAAGACTGCTCCCCTAATCATCAGAAGGACTTGCCTTATTTAGCTGGGACTCACAAGAGTCAGAAGGAGAGAAAGACTTCTGACCAATTTTCCTACTCCCATATCAGTTGCCGCAGTTAGTCACCCTCCTTTACCATTAACAGATAAGGAGTTCTTTAGCGTTTTATTTTCTGGCCGCTATGTAGCCAACTACTCCTCTGCCATGGGTGCTTATCATCACCACTTACTGAATTTGACATTGCCGATTCTGCGGGTAACTCCTATGCACCTTTACAGTTAAAGCCTCTCATGTTACTAGGAGGCAATGGGGTGGGCACATCACGAGCGCATTGCTGCTCGACATGCCTTAAACCAGCATCCAAACAATTGACTGGTTGAGGACCTGCGGTTTGTTGATGTGCGGCTTTTAGTCAGAAAACTGATGTTATTCTTGATACCCTGCCCAAGCTCCAGAAGGCAGCATGGTCATTTGTGGTATAACAACCGCAAGTACCTGGTGATGCTCCTACCAGCCTAGGGCATACCAGGAATGTCAAAGGCCTCAACCCCAAAGTTACCAGCTGCCACCCCCTAGACATGTGGGCAGGCAGCGCCCTGCCCAGCAGATCTGCAGGCAGGACCCCAAAACCAAGTGGTCTCTTTACTGCACCTGACTATTCTGTTGTTAACCAGTCAGGCTGTCTGGCCCCTCATCTTTCCGATTGGTGTTCCTTCATGTTTAATACTTGGGTGCTCCCTATCATAGCTACCGGCTATGCTATTGAATTCAATATCCCCCACTGTCATAGGCCATGTTATGGCCACCACCAAAAAAAAAAAAAAAAAGGATGGGGGCCTTGGTTTTGAAGGCCTGAACTCTTTTATTACTCTATGTAGATTCCGTATGGCTTTCTTGGACACTGTTATTCACATGTTACATCCAGAGAGTTGCTTAGATGATCGTCTTCATGATGGCATTCGGTCACGCCATCAACGTTTTCTCATGTTTTCAGCAGGGGGAATCACTGTTTACCCGTAATTGGATAACTGGCTCCTGGCCGCTGAGTCCAAGTCACAAGCTGGTAGACATACGTCCTTAACACTGTCCCTTTGTCAATGTTAGGACTGAAGGTCAACATAGAGAAGTCGACTTTGCAACCTACACAGTGTGTAGATTGTATTAATGTGACTTGAGATGCTTTCTTGAAGGAGGGTTTTTCTTCCCTGATGACAAGTCTGTGAAATTGCTTGATTTCTTATGCTCCTTTTTCTCTTCAGGCGCTTGCTTCCCTGTCCAACAAGTCCAGTGACTCCTGGGGCTGATGGCATCTACCACAGCCATGGGACAGCATGCTCAACTGAGGATGCAGTCCCTTCAAGCCTGGTTTCTCTCACTTTTTCAGATGTCTTGCAACCACCCATCCATGTTGCTCCAGGTGACTCTGGAACTCGTTGCTTAACTGGACTGGTGGGGATTCCCCCCCATAGGGAGACCCTTCGGTCTCTTGACCCGGCTGATTCAGTCAGTGGTGGATGCCAGCCTACTGGGTGGGTGGGCATGTCTGCACCACCATGTTGCCCTTGGCCGCTGGTAGCCGGCCTCCATATCATTGTGCTGGAGCTCCTTGCAAACACCAAGGCCTTTGGGGCCTCTGAGCCCCTACTCCAGGGTCAGGTGGTCCAGCTCGCATCAGGTGATACCACTGCAGTTTATTATATGAACAAGCAGGGCGCTGCTCATTTGTTACGCCTTCTCTTTCGCACCATTGACCTTTCGGAATGGTGTTATACTTGCCACATTTATCCAGTGGCTGTACATTTCGCACGCAGGAACAATTCCGTAGTAGACCATCTCAGCAGACTACAGTCCTGTCCTCACGAGCGGGCTCTCAACGATGGCATCTTTCGTGCCCTCTGTCGTTGATGAGGGACTTCAGACATAGACGTTTTCACATCCCGGACGAACAAGATGTGTGCTATGTGCTGCTCCTGAACCGGCATCAGCTGTAACTCCCCAGGGAACACTTCCTGATGAACTGGTCATGGGGCCTCCTTTACAGGTTTCCACCTTTCCCCCTTCTTCAAAGGACTGTTCGAGTCCAACATGAGTTGCAAATGTCATGTTTGGTTGCCTCCCTAGCCATGGTTCTCGATCCTGCTCCCATGAACTGCAGAATACATCAGGCTGCAGCTGGTCCCTCACCTACTATCTCAGGACAAGGGTCGGATGTTTCATCTGGGCCTCGTGTCCCTCTACCTGTCGGCTTTGAGTCTTCCCCGACAGTAACAGACATGCTCAATCATGCTCGCAAACCTTATGCCACCTTGACCTACTTCTTTAATGGGTAAGCATTCTGTCACTTTACATCAAGACAACATTTGCCTACTAGGCCAATGTCTCTGGACGCATTCCTTCAGTTTCTCCTTCACCTGTTTCGCCTGGGACTGGTCCATTCTACCTGCAAGCTATTTCTCTGAGGCCTGGAGAATATGCACCCTGCCTATAGACCATTAACACCTCAGTGGCCACTCCAATTACTTATTCGGCAGTGTATGAGGCCTCCCTTCAAGCCCTTGGCATCAGCATTGCTCTGCTTGGTAGCCCTCAAGACTGCCTTTCTCCTGGCGATATCCTTAGCTTGCAGGGCTGGAGGACTGGCTACACTAAGAGCAGATCCTTTTTTCTGCAAAGTAACCTCACGGCCAGACCTTACCTTCTTCCCTAAGGTATTTTCTGCCTTCCATTTGAAACAGCCAGCTGTCCTTACTATCTTCTATCCCACACCATCTTCTCCATGTGGGACAGTGCTCCACGCTCTAGATGGGAAGCGTGCTCTGTCATATGATGTGCATTGCACAACCACTTTTCGTGCCTCACAGCGTCTCCTTGTCACCTTTGCTGGCTCCTCCTTCGGAGCACCGGCTTCCTCGGACCATCTCTAGATGGATAGCCAGGCCACCCATCTTGCCTATAACTTGGTAAAGACTCCTCTTCCAAAATCACTGAGAGCTCACTCTACTAGAGTTGTAGCATCCTCAACAGCCTTTTTTCCGTGAAGTGGACATCACGGATGTCTGCCACGCTGTCATATGTGCCACTCCGTCTACCTTCATCTCGCACTACCGCTTGGATGGCCAGCCGAAGGCTCAGGCTGTGGTAGATCAAGCTGTCCTGGCTTCTGCACTTTTCTGATGTCCCTCCTCCTGGTTAGTCAGCTTGCCAGTCA